GGGTGGCTCAGTGGGTTAAGCCACTGCCTTCGGCTCAGGTCATGATCTCAGGGTCCTGGAATCGAGTCCCGCATCGGGCTCTCTGCTCAGCAGGGAGCCTGCTTCTCTCTCTCTCTCTCTCTCTCTGCCTGCCTCTCTGTCTACTTGTGATCTCTCTCTGTCAAATAAATAAATAAAATATTAAAAAAAAAAGAATAAGACAAACATATCTCCATCCTCCCATCCAACTTAACAAGTAGCACTTTATTGATGCTTTTGAAGCCCCTGTCAGTTCCCCCCTTCTCCCTGACAGAAGTAATCACTCTGATTTTGACTTCTCAACCCCTTTCCTTTTTTCTTCCGGGTTTTGCCATGTCTCCATTCCTAAACAGCTTATTAGTTTGATTGGTTTTGAGTATTTTCACATGGAGTCAAACAGATTACATCCTTCTTTAATTTGTCCTTTTAAATCAGCATTATGCTTGTGAGCATTTTAATTGTTGAGTAGCATCCCATTGTGCGAATATACGTAACTGTTTACTTATCCATTCTCTTGTCAATGCACATTTGGGTGGTTTCCAGTTTTTGGCTAGTATGGACATTCTTGTTCTTATGTCCTATAGCTCATGAACAAGAATTCCTGTAGGACATATTCTTTGGGTGGAATGGAATTTCCAGGTCATAGTATTCAATTTTACTAGGTAATAACTCATTAACAATTTTCTGCTTAGTTCAAAAGGGCCAGGATTGCCAGATTTAATAAATAAAATACAGGATGCTCAGCTGAATTTGAATTTCCCATAAATAACCAATACTTTTTAGTGTCCGTATGGACCATGCAAAATTATATTTCATCTGGCAACCCTAACAAGGTCAGTAAACTTTACCAAATCACAAACATTGGCCAACGGTGTGAGGGGGTGGCAGGATATTTGGTCCTTTCTTCCTCTGCCAGCATGGCCAGCCTGGTTGTTAGCTCAGAGGCTCAAGCACTTGCTAACCAGTATGCAGGTAATTAATTGGCTCAACCAATATGTATACTGCATCAACTTGATGCCAGGCAGGTGCTAGACGTTGGGAATACAACTATAAACATGACAGACAACGTCCTTGTCCTCCTAGGCTTTTAGCCAAGGCAGGGAAATGGACAGCAAGGAAATGATGTATGCGCTATGGGAGCAGCGGTATGCCGGTGAGGGAGCCCTGATTTGTAGCTTTTGATGACTTTGGAGTTGTAAATACTGATTTCAAGCTACCAGTGTGACATCACCGAACTAAGTGATGTACACAGTCTGCTCTCTGGGCCATAGGAACTGGCTCTAGCACCCACTGTTTGGGGGCATACTTACAAAGGACACCATCCATCCTCTAGGCTCATTTCTGGTTGGTTTGGGGTAAAGGAACTTAGGCATTAATTATTTCCTCATATTTAGAAGGAATCAAATGGTAAGAGGTATAAAGTGTATTGATTGTTTCTATAGTATTGTCTTGACTTGCAAATATTTTTACTATTATATATATAAATGGAGTCTAATAAACATAGTTGTAAATTATGATCAGGGTATAGGTTAGGGCTCAGATACTCTCTTTTGTATATGATCTGTCAGGAAACCCTTCAAGACCTTTTTTCCTGCATTGTTCCCTCACCTGTATCCCAGTTCACTGATCTTCATCATTCATTCACTCATTCCACAAACACTGATGGAGTCCTTGGTCTGTGCCAAGCATGGTACTAAAGGTTTGAGTCTGTCTTCATGGAGCACTCAATTCACGGAAGGAACATTTTCCCCAGCTCATCGTGATTGTTTCTGGGCAGGTTTACTGCATTCTCCTTTTACTTACTCAGTTTACTCCTGTGTTCTCATGCTGGCCGTCCCTCTGGGAATATTTCGCAAAGAACCTTGCCTAAACCCCCCTTTCAATGATCTTTCCTTGCTTTTTTTTTTTTTTCCTTCATTTCTCCTTCCCCATAGTGGCAGGTGTTCCTTGCTGTCTGAATCCGGACTCTCCTGACTGTTTTGTACCTTGTCCTATTGTTCAGGTCATCACTCTAGTCATCCCATATATCTCTATCAAACAATTTTTGAATCCCTGTATACTAGTTGATGTGCAAGATGTGGAAGCCTCTATTCACCCTTGAAGTTTTCATCTATCATAATCATTTCATAAAATTACAGGTTTGTATGATTTTAGATTTAATTACTTAAAAATGATCCATTTTCCAAGTTTAGAAAATCATAAAGGAGCAAAGAATAATGATCTAATCTCACAGCCCAAGGCTAGCTAGAATTAGCTGTTTGGGGTATAACCTTGGAGTCATTTTTATGTATGCTTATACACAAATTGGGGTCATACCTTTTCACTTACTACAGTGTGAACATTTTATCATCTATTTCAGTATTCTTTGAAAACCTGATTTTAAATGATGGCATGGTATTCCATTTTCAGGCTAAGGCACCTGGTTGGTGTAAAGATAACTTGAAGCTGTGGAGAAGGCTGGGAGGAAGATAACCTACCATCAAATCTCTTTGGTTGGGTTTTGTTTACTACCATAGAGGAGCTAAGCTCTGTATGAAGTTTAGGCATTGGAAGGCCCTTTAGAGACCACCTAGCGACACTAACCTCTTTTTCACAGGTGAGGAAATTGAATCAAGAGGGATTGTTACCTGCTGAGACTAATACCCAGGTGTCTTGACTTCCTCTGTGTTTTGCTCATCTCACCACAATCAGCTAAGCTTAGTCTTAAAATACAGAAAGATCATACATTTACCTACATGTTTTTTAGAGAAACTCTGCTTCCCTTTAGAGTTCATGTACTTTGGTATAAAAGTTGAATATTAAGGTCCTAGGTATGTATCCAAGAGAAAAGAAAGCAAATGTCCACACAAACACTTCTACAGGAGGGAGAGTTCACAGTAGCACTATCAGTAATACCCTGAATGTGGCAACAGTGCAATTGTTCATCAGCAGGTGCATGGATCAACCAAGATGGTATATTCATACAATGGAATACTAGGCAATAAAAAAAAACAAAAACAAAAACAAAAAACCATGAAGTGCAACAATGTAGATGAAACTCAGATACGTTGAGAAAAAGAAGCTAGACAAGTACAGACTGTACGATTCCATTTATTTAAAATTCTGGAAAATGCAAACTAAAAGACAGAAAGCAGATGTGTGGTTACTTGGGGAAGGGGTTGGAGTGTAAGAGAACATCAACAGGGTAGAGGAAACTGTGGAGACTGATGGACATATTCATTATCTTGATTGTAGAATTGGCTTCATGGTTGTATACACATCAAAACATACATACTGTACACTTTAAATATGTGTTTATTGTATGTCAGTTACACTTCACAAAAATTGTTTAATTTGTGAGTTCTGCCTTTTAGTTTGAAAAGCAGAACATGACTAAATACTCACTAAAGAATCTGAAGCATAAGAAACCTAAAATTACTTCTGGAGATAACTGACAACCAAGGTTCTATTCTAGTATGATAGTTTATCTGAACACAACATTACTGTGAGAAATGCGAAGTCATAAAAATAAAAAATAGAAATGACATTTTTGTTCCCCTGGTAATCATACCATTTCCTCCTGTCTATGCAGTTGCTCTATATCATAATCTGTTTAGTGTTCTATTCAATTTGTTTTTTGGTTTTTTTTTTAGAGAGCAATAACCTTGCTGTATTTTCCCTGAACTATTAGACTGCTCTTTTATGAACAAGATGCCCAATCCCTGGTGTGTCTTACATGTGTGGGTGTGTAGAAAGCTACACTTTATCTATAAATTTTAGCAAATGCTGTAATTTTCCTTGGGATTTTCTAGCCAGGACTCAGCAGTGGCATGGAAACAAATTGGAACTTTCTAGAAACCATACCCTCTTCCACAAGATGAACACGGGATAGTTTCCTTAAATATGTGAGTTAATAAAAATTTTCTATTTAGATTGTCAATTTATTTTTATTTATTTATTTATTTTTAAAAGAACTGCTATACCACACACAGAGTACACCACACCGGTAAAGATTCGTTCTCTCTTTTGAAAACATTCAAAGTTTTTATTTTCACCCACCTTCGCCCCCAACTTAGTTTCTTAGCTCTTTTATTCGGTAATCACTCCCATTCTGCAGACGGGGAGACGCACGCAGGGGTTTTTTTGCACGGTACAGAGGGGCAAAAAAGAAGCAACTCTCAACTTTTCAGTTCCATTTTGAGAAATGATCACCTCGAACTCCTGAGAACGACAGCCCGGCGAGAGCAAAAGCATTTCTCCCCAGGCTGGGTCTAGGTCGGGAGCCAGGCGCGCTTCCGCGGGAGGTGGGGGCGGGGGAGTCAGGTGGCAGCGGAGCGGGAACCGGAGCCCGAGCGACGCGGCGGGGGCGCGTGCGGGGTGCGCCTCCCTCCGGCCGGCCCGGGGTGGCGGCCCCCGCGTACGCGAGTCGGCCAGCCCCCCGCTCCCGCGCCGCGCTGCAATCCGCGGGTGCGCCAGGGGCGCCCGGCTCCCGCGTCTCCTCCCTCCCTCGCGCGCTGGCTCCCTCTCCACAACCCCCCCGCCCCCAACCCCTGGCAGGTCCCTCCCCCATGCCTGCTCCCGCGGCCGCCGCCGCCGCCGCCGCTACCGGAGGCGCAGGAGCCTCGCGATAGTGTTTGCACAGGCGGCGCGTGACGCCGCCGCCGCCTGTAACTGATGCAGAGGTTACCCCGCCGCCTCAGCCGCCACCCACCGCCCGCCGCCGCCACCCAGGCGACGCCGGGGGCCGACGCACTGCAGAGGTGCCGGCAGGTTCCGCTCGCGGAAGTCTCCTCAGCCGGCGCAGCCCGCACTCCGCCTGCACTTCGGAGGGCGCCCCCTCGACGCCTCCGCCGCCGCGCTTCTTCCCTCCGCCTCTTCCCCGGCGCACCCGCCTGCTCCCTCGCTTCTCCCCCTTTTCCTCCTCCCCGTCCCCTCTCCTCCCCTCACCTCTTCCCTCCCTACCTCCCCCTTCTCGATTTCCTCCCCCATCCCCTTGACTCTCCCCTCCCAGCCCTTGCTCCCTCGCTCGCCCTCAGCGCGGCCCCCGCCATGACGGAGGCGGGTGCCGGTGCCGTTGCCGCCGCTGCCGTCGCAGGGGGGGAGTCGGGTTCCCAGAAAGTAGCTTGATGAGTGTCCAAAGTAGCAGTGGAAGTTTGGAGGGGCCGCCATCTTGGTCCCAGCTCTCCACGTCTCCAACCCCGGGCTCGGCGGCGGCGGCCAGGTCCCTGCTGAATCACACGCCGCCATCCGGGAGGCCCAGGGAAGGTAAGCGCCGTCGCGCCCGCTCGCGGGCTTCCTCTCCCGCGCGGTAGCCCCCGCGCCCCCCGGGTCTCTTCCCCCGACCCCAGGGTGGGGGATGGTGGCGGGGTGGACGCGAGGCCGCCCGGCTCCCGGGAGGTGGTGCGCTGGCTGTGGGTGGTGGTTCGCGGGTGGCGGCGGCGACGGACGAGGGGGTGCGCGCTGGAGGGGACGGGGCGAGGCGCGCAGACTCGTATGGGGTTCCTAAGAGCCAATACTGCTAGGCTGGGAAGCCTCCCCCCCGGACGCCAGCCCCTTTCTGCTCCATTTGCTAGTACACTCAGTACTCTTAACCTCCTGGCCTCCGGTCTCTGGTGGGTTTTCCCTCTGGTTGAAGCATTCATCCTTGAGCCCCCTCCCCTTCCCTCGCGCACTCCTCCCATAGAGGCGGTCCCCGCTTTGCGAGCTTTGCAGCCCGGGACCTGGAGGATGCCCTCGCTAGCAGGGTCCCTGCCCTTTCGGGAGCGTCGCTTAAATTATCAAAGCCGACTTTGATCCCCTGCCTGGCCCTTTAGATCAATTTGAACGACAGACTGACTCGTGGGCAGGCTTTTAAAACCACCCCCTCCAGATGGCTGCAACTTTCTCTCCTTCGCCATCACCTCCTGCGTGTTTGTGCGTTCTCTCTCTTCTGCAAGTAGGCTACTGTTCTCTGACAGGGTCGTGGGTTTTGTGGGAAATATCGGCGTAAAGGTTAATGCAAACACGCACCAGATCGGTTACAATTGTTTTCTAAGTTTTCTGGTTTCTTGCATGCAAGTGTGCTGCCACCAGATGTAGCAGTTACACAGCTAGTAAGACGCAGGAGTGCTTTTTGACTAAAATTTCAACTTGCTGTATTTAACTTTAAGTATACGACATAAAATGAAATTTGGGAGAACACGCATTTATGAAGGAAGAATAAATATGCATGGAATCGCGTTTAACGCTCTTTTGTCTGGGAAAACGTTCAGCGGTATTCATCAGCAATTGGTAAATGGGTTGTTCACTCCCAGTTGTGTCTCACAAGGAGACTGTAGCCACATTTTCAAAAAACGTCTGGAAGTCCAAGAGTGATGAATCCTTCAAAGAAACCAGGAGCTTTGATTTATGTAGGAAATGGTGGGGTTAATTTATTTTTAAAATATCTCTCAATATTTACTACCCAGCCTTGACAATTGTAAATCAAGTGTTTTGTGCCCTGAATCTGGTGGTTCAGGCATAGCATTCTTTGTCATTTTGTTCCTGTGAGCATGTGTGAAAGTGACAATAGGCTCAAAGATTGGCATGAATTTGCTCCAGAAAATTCATGGAAAGGTTTGATTTATGGCATCCATTAAACATGCTGAGTGCACTGACAGACATTTTTCCCCTTTTCCATCTCACCCTCAACACTGAGTTCTGATTATTAGAAGATAAAAGTTTATTTATTGATTAATTCAAATTTAGTGCATCTGGCGATTTTTCTTTTTGCACTTGAAAATTTGTAAATGTTTCAAAATCTATTTTGTACATAGAGCAGTTGGTGCTTTTAGCAAGCTTCTATTTTTGTAGTTTTATTAAGATGCTTAATGATAGTGTTATCAGGGGTAGTGTAATGAGCAGTGGTAAATGATGGTCTTAGAAAAGCCCGTCTTTTTTTAAAGGCTTTATCTTTTTTTTTTTTTTTCATTCTTTCGTTTCTCAGATATTTATTGAGCCATTTCTGTGACCCAGGGACTGTACTAGATACTGAGGACATAGTGTTGAATTGTTCATCTGTAACATCAACTATCACTATTAGTAATTTGGGGCTGCAAAGTCTAGATTGTGAGTTTTTGAGGTTACTTCAATTGTAGTTAAAAAAAAAAAAAACTTCTGTAAGACAAACCATAAGAAACTCTTAATCTCACAAAACAAACTGAGGGTTGTGGGGCGGGGTAGGGAGAGGGTGGTTGGGTTATGGACATTGGGGAGGGTATGTGCTGTGGTGAGTGCTGTGAAGTGTGTAAGCCTGACGATTCACAGACCTGTACCCCTGGGGCTAATAATAAATTATATGTTAATAAAAAATTAAAAATTAAAAAAAACCTTCTCTACTATTCTTCAGCTTTCCTGATGATTGAAAATTCTTAGGGGTTAGAATAAATTAGCTTGGACTTCCAAATAAACAGAATTCTTTCTAGAAGTTTGGATTATAGTAGACTTTTATGTAAAGTAAATTAGTAAATCTTTTGTTACTGAAGTAAGACATGTTTTTGTGATTGTGGTATTTCACCAAGTCCCTCTGTGGCCACAGTAATATATTTTTGACCAACCAGTATGTAAGTTAAAACTGTTAATTTTCTCTAGGGTTATATATATTTATCTTGAAGATACAGCTTCATATATCATTAATGCTAACAGGAATTGCATGTATGAAACCTTAGACATAATGATGGAGACATTTTCTATTGAGTGAGATCCCAGTTTTCATTTTAACAAGTGTTTAGCATCTTTTGTATGTATACATATTAGTATTACATAAATTGATGGAAGTTGAAAGAGCGTTGGACTTACGGTGACTGTTAATAGTAATAGTTAATATTAGTGGAATGTGATTATATGTATCAAGGTGGGAACAAACTTTGTGAAAAATTGAAGCAATTTAATGTAATATATAATAGAAAAACTTAAAAGGCACATATATGTATATGTACATGTATTTTAAAGTTGTGTGATAAACTGCTTTTAAGCAAACTTAACTTTGAAAATGGGCTATTTTTGGGGCACCTGGGTGGCTCAGTGGGTTTAACCTCTGCCTTCGGCTCAGGTCATGATCTCAGGGTCCTGGGATCAAGTCCTGCATCGGGCTCTCTGCTCAATAGGGAGCCTGCTTCCCCCTCTCTCTGCCTGCCTCTCTGCCTACTTGTGATCTCTGTCAAATAAATAAAAATCTTAAAAAAAAAAAAAAAAGGAAAGAAAATGGGCTATTTTTGAAGATGTATCATATACCTGTAAAAATTAATTATTTTGAAGTTTTGATGTATTTGAAGCCAAAAATCTAATTGATTATTTTCAATGCTGCATATTTTGCCTTTCTTCCTTTCTCCCCTATTCCCATTCTCATCTTAATATAGTTTTACTTGATTACAAATAAAATACATTTTTAAATATTAAAAGATTTAGGAATTTGTTGGAATTTAGGAATATCTGTGATACAGTGTAGACAACTTCTTTTCCTGAGTCCTGAAGCTTTTCCTTTATCAGTCTTGCAGTTCCCTGAGAGGTGCTCAGCAGTATAGCTCTAAGTTTCATGTTGGATCTTTTAAACCTGTGATCTCTATCCCATTTTAGCTTTAAAAATCCTGTAAGGAGATTTGGGAAGTTAAGAAATTGAGTAAATTTCCAAATAGAGGTCAGTTTTGCTTTACTGAGACCTAGGAACCCAGTGTCATATTGTCTAGATGAGCAGATGGGTTTGTTTGTTTGTTTGGTTTTTTTGGCCTATCAGTACATGGGTACTTTTTTATTAGTTATTGCTAAGAATCAAATGATTATACAGAAGATTTGCATTTTCTTTTGTTTCATCTTACCAGATCTGAATAATTTGCTTACTTTTATGTAAACAGTGAAAGTAGTTTGGTTAAAAAGATAATGTCACAGGGTAAACTGTTGCTGTGTTTTCATGTTTACAGACTGCATCATTTGGATGATTGAGTGATACCTGTAGGGAGTTGTTAAAAGTAAAGGTATACCAGATGACCTTTTAGTTTCTTGAAGTCACTAGTTGGAGGAGGACAGGGTTTTATGTTTAAGGATTTTAGCTTATGAATAGATCCATGGTAGATGCCTCCTTTATAGAAGCACTTTTTACGCATCAGAGGAGAAAGGAGGGAATCCTAGAATATAGTTAGCTGTCTGGGAATCTGCCCCTGGGAAACACGTTTTTTGGTCTCAGGAACACTTTATTCTCTTAAATATTACTGAGGACTCTACAGAGATTTTATATGGTTATGTCTATTGATATTTACTGTTTTAGAAATAATTTCAAAGTTATTAACTTACCTAAAAATAATAAACTGGTAACTTTTACCAAATTTTTAAATGAATGAAAATTCTAAAACAAAAACTTTAGTGAGACTAGTAGTAGCGTTTAATATTTTTGTAGCACTTTAATTTCTGACTTATCAGACAGCTGGAGTTGGCTTCTGCTTTTAGTCTCTTGTGATTTATTTTGACTGAGATACTGTGAAGAGACTCCAGCTTCACATAGATATGTAGTTAGAAAACTTGATGTATTTTAATAGTTCTTTTAGAAATTGTACGTGTACTCTGATACTACACCAAAATTTGACAAGTGGCAGGTTTAAAAAAAAAAATGTTACTTACGGTATGGGAGTACATTGTATTTCAGAATTGTCTCCAAGACCCAGAAGAGATCTGTGGACCATACATTTATAGCCTAAGATGAGACCACTGAAAGGGTGGGAAGCATGACAGCTGTCTTCAGGTGTTTCAAAAATATAAATAGCAGAGACAGTAGATGCATTCTGCTGTTATAGAATGTAGACCGTCAGGTGAAAGAAAGGCACAGATGTAATTCAGTATAGTTTGTTGACCAGAATGTAACAAGTGTATAGCAGCTAGACTTGTCCAGCAGTGGAAAAAACTGCTTTTATTGAGCGATTCCAGAAACCAACATAGCACTATATGTTAACTAACAAAAAAACAAGAGTATAAAGTGATAAGAATTAAAAGCGTCTACCGGGACATTTTCGGGTGGGGCAGAGATTCTTATTTTGGATGCTCTTGGATTAAGTGACTTCAGGTCCCACACCCTTTGAAAATGTAAACATTCTGTGGGTTTTTTTTGAAAATAGCTGAATACTGTAGTTAAATTATACTTATATATATATATATGAATGATTTTGAATATTCTCTTCAGTCACTAGTATGAAACCACTGTTGGCTTTATTTTGCGTTTTTTATTGTGCTTTTTCTCTTAGTATTTTCTGGAATCAACATGT